TCGAAATTCAAATTTATTGTGAATTTGCCCATATTTGTTGGAGATTAAAATCAAATTTTTAGTAAATTTAGATAAAAGTTAACTAGTTATGGATTCTATGAAATATGTTATTAAAATTAATTATTATATATTTCAATCGATACCAAACACGATTTTATAACTAAAAAATGCCCCCTCCCCCCCTCCCAAGGACCCCCTAGGTCTGCCCATGCATGTTGCTACTATTACTGTTATTGTTATTGCCGTTAGTTTTGACGGGCCTGGAAAAGGAGAGAGGAAGAAGAGGATTGAATCGGAGCCATAATTCATCGTCGTTACCTCCATCATCGTAATCTTCGTCGTTGTTGTCGGCGAAAGCTTGGGAAGCCATGACCTGAACGAGACGCTGAGCCGCGACTTTAGCCGCATAGTTCTGAGTTCGCTTAATGTTGGAAGTGCCCCTCATCAGCGAACACAGACCGTGATTTCCACGCGTCGGCGATGCCCCCACCTCGCTGCGAATTCTCATCCCTCTTTTTCTCCATTTTATAGTTTTATCAAGAATTTAAAATATTAATGAAGGAAATGTGAGTTGAAATTGAGGAGAAATTATATTTTCAAATATGCCCAATCAAAATTCAGATTTCAATCAAATTGAAGTTAACAACTAATTTTAATTACACATTTTATTAGTTCTACAATTTTTCAATCACACATTTCATCAAAGTTTATTAAAAATTTAATTTTAATCCTTACCAAACAGCGACTATATATATGTTGAGGTCTAATATTGAGCCATTGCAATCATTTCACTGTCATTGAAATGTTACAACTAATCTAAAATTAATAATTTTAAATAATTAAATAATTATAGTTTTAAATTAGAGAAGGATTATAATATGGAAGATCCTTGCCCAAATAAAAATATAATGTAGAAGATCCCGTAGATAAATTAAAGTCAACAACAAGAACTTAGAACGGGCCAGTTAACAGTAAGACAAAAATGTTGTGCTAATAATGTTGGATTGACAGTATCCGGGTTAATTTAATGAACTTTACAATAAGTTACTACTTGCTTATCGAAATTCAAAAAGTTACTCTTTTCTCATTGAATTTTGTTATATGTTACTATTTGCTTACTGAAATTTAAAATGCTACTCGTTGCTTATCCAAATTTGAATAAAGTTACTCATCAATCACATATATCATTTCCATCGGTGTTATCTATAACAGAGTTTAGTGAGTAACGAGTAACTTTATTCAAATTTAGGTGAGCAGCGAATAATCTCTTAAATCTCAATGAGCAAGTAATAATATATATTAAAGTTCAGTAAGCAATGAGTAACTTTTTAAAGATCGATGAGCAAGTAGTAACCATATTAAAGTTTAGTGACCATTGATTAAATTAACTCGACAGTATCCCTTCAATTCAAAGCAATTGAAATTCTTCCTACATGTAAAAGGCCGTGCAATCTTTAGGATTCCTTCTTATTTGTCCATTGTTCTTCTACTTTTATATTTAGCACTTCTTGTTTTCCAATACAAATAGTGAAATGGTCAAAAGTGGTCATTCTCGAACTCGATTTTCGTTCTATGTGCATGGGACATCCGTTCTACCTCTTAGTGAATAGTGGCCCAACCTCATGGACTCTGTAATCGGTCTTCATCAAGACTCCCTCATCAACGCTGATACCTCGACTTCGAGTATATGACCTGGAGATGACTTTTCCATAATGATATACTATGTTTTTGCCCTTACAGTTCACACTCAAAAACCTCAAGTCAAAACAACCCTTTATTAGGTCCTTAATTCTGAGGTCACCTCATAGATCTTCCACAAGATCTATGTAGCCCGACATCTCTACCTCGCTGAGCTTCATGATTGGCCTACGAGTCAACTAAAGACATATCCCTGAGCACGACCTAAACAAGAGAAAAAATGTTTTACCTCATCGACAATCTAATCACGCTCGAACTCCAATATAAGTCATGTTATCCTTCAACTTAGGAGTAACATTCTTACCTTGACTAGAACATATAATAGTACCTACGTAAACCACCAATCAATATAATATACACCACTTGTTCATTATCCATGTACAATTTACTTTGTACATTATTTACTTTACAACGTTATGTTTTTAGTCTTCCTTTACTTGTTGACTCAAGAATTGAAGGGGCGAAGAAGTTACAATTCGACACCTTTGTTTCGGGTATGAGGAAGCACTCCTTCTCTATCTAAATTCCATGATCGAATTCGTGCAACCTGAGGTACAATGTTTAGCAGCATCGAGTAGGACACTATTTTTTTTTCCACACGATCTAGTTCAAAATGTAAAATGATAATTTTTGTCCCATGTTCCCCACCTCTTGGCTCATTCTCATTCTCCGATCTCATCTCCCCTTTTGCAGTAGTCTTGTCACTAGTGGACCAGAAGGCAAAATGTATTGTTGATAACGTTGAATCACTGGTATCACTTCAACGCTAAAATTTAGGAATTCTTCCTAAGTGCAAAGCTTGTGCATTATATAATTGTAGCTCTTATAACCTTCGTATGGAGGAATTAATGGATGTGGATAACTTGGTCCCAAACTTCACAATTTTATACGCTTTAAGTCCCCTTTTTTTTTCCTTGTCTTGTTTTCTTTCTTGTAGGGATTTTGGCATGCAAAAGTGAAAATTACACAATTATGCATAGAAATCGACTCAATTTCAATTATAATTAGATCCAAAAAGTGCCTAATAAGTGTGTAAAAACACACACATCAAGCTTCATGATTGGCCTACGAGTCAACTAAAGACATATGCCTGAGCACGACCTAAACAAGAGAAAAAATGTTTTACCTCATCGACAATCTAATCACGCTCGAACTCCAATATAAGTCATGTTATCCTTCAACTTGGGAGTAACATTCTTACCTTGACTAGAACATATAATAGTACCTACGTAAACCACCAATCAATATAATATACACCACTTGTTCATTATCCATGTACAATTTACTTTGTACATTATTCACTTTACAACGTTATGTTTTTAGTCTTCCTTTACTTGTTGACTCAAGAATTGAAGGGGCGAAGAAGTTACAATCCGACACCTTTGTTTCGGGTATGAGGAAGCACTCCTTCTCTATCTAAATTCCATGATCGAATTCGTGCAACCTGAGGTACAATGTTTAGCAGCATCAAGTAGGAAACTATTTTTTTCCACACGATCTAGTTCAAAATGTAAAATGATAATTTTTGTCCCATGTTCCCCACCTCTTGGCTCATTCTCATTCTCCGATCTCATCTCCCCTTTTGCAGTAGTCTTGTCACCAGTGGACCAGAAGGCAAAATGTATTGTTGATAACGTTGAATCACTGGTATCACTTCAACGCTAAAATTTAGGAATTCTTCCTAAGTGCAAAGCTTGTGCATTATATAATTGTAGCTCTTATAACCTTTGTATGGAGGAATTAATGGATGTGGATATTTTTGACTTGCTCAAAGATTGGAACATTCTAATTATGGTTTTGTATTCTAATTCAAACATAACTGTTGGCATCACGGGAAATAAATTGACAACCTTAGACTTTAGTTAACTGTGGTTTATGTTTTTCTCATTTCATTTCCATGCAATAAATTAAAGATCTAGTTTCTACTATGCATAACGACATTTTCCCACTTAATTTTTATATTACACTGCATTTTGTTCTTTGTGTGACATTTGTCCTAATTCTATAATTAATGCTTGGTTAATAAATTTATCGTTTTTGTGACTAATTGTATTTTGAAGTGAAACGTACATTGAATGCCCTAGAAAATCGATGTTAAATTATGGTATAAATATAATTCTATTAAACTTGAAGTCAATATATAATATATTCATTTTATGAATGTTATAACCGCACATTTATACAATAATATATTTTGCATGTAAATTCATATTTTTTAATTACATATTTTTTTAAACATCACTATTCAAAGGTCTATTATTATTATTTATTTCAAAATAGTGGCCATCAAACAAGGGTTAAGTTACTCAATGCTTATAGGAAAAGAAAACCTGTGAATCTAAAATGATATAACATGTGTATTAAATTGTGAAAGCATTTAAAGATTATCACGACCATAATAAAGATGTTTTTCTATTTTTAATATTATTTTAAAGCATTTAAAGATTTAATAATTTGTTTAAAAGTAAAGCTATTTAGGGGCTGTCTGTTTCTGTTGAACAGCACAATTCTAACCGTTGTCATCAATTTTCTAGCCATTGGGAGCAGCAACTTTTGACTCACTCTATCACAGTTGGCGTTTTAAAAAAAGGGATAAAAAATCAATTATTTGGCCCCAAAAAATCCCTCCCAGACAGCCCCTTATAGTGAAGATTATCGATTGTTGCTCCACGTGGCATATACGTGTCACTTTGTTATTTAATGTATGAATCAATAAAAAATTACTATATTAGAGCCTGTTTGGTGTACATTAAAATGAGATAATGCATTTTTTTGAAGTGATGTGATGGAGAATATGTGGTTGAAAATGAGGGAAAAACTATTAATGTGATGAAAAATATTATTTTATTGAAGAATGTGTGATTGAAAATAAGTACAAGAATGAGAATGAAAAAAATAATGTGGGTCAAACAGGGTTTTAATGAAACAAATAATAAAGCGATACACATACGTCACACACGATGAATAATGATAATATTATCCTTTATTTAACCATAAAAATAAAAATAAAAGCGTCTTCTCACTTTTGGCGCTAACTCCCACTTATTGGCGTTTTTTAGCATTTAGATTAGCGCCAGCGATTTAAATAGGGTTGACCCTTATTTTTTTACACTGCATGGGATGTCTTCGTGACGCTTCACATTGACTTCACATTTTCCTGCCTTTTAGAGTCTTAAGTGACAATAATGATATGGCATTTGACTTTTTTTATACAAAAAGGATCAATTGTTTAGGTTTTATTTTTAAACTTTGAATTAAACATGAAGCAATGTCAATTAATTATTTGGGCCCATAATCCCTTCATAGTTAGGTCTGTACAAAAAATCGCGAAATCGTAAATCGAATTGAATTCGTTGATTTGAAATTGTTGGTGTCGGATCCATGTGGACTAACGATTTTTTTTTTCTTCAACCGAACAAAATCGTTTCAAAATAGTTTAGTTTATGTACCGTTTCAAAATGGTCCAATTCTTGCCCATGACTTTCACATCGTTAAAATTGGCTCCACGATTTTTTAAAAATTCCTAGCATTTGTTTCTCTTCTAAAAATCGTATTTTTTAGGTCTTTTTTTTATCGTTAAAAATCGTATAATCGTATGAGAAACACATGCAATCGACAGGTAAATCATGAATAAAATCGATCAAAACTGAAACATAATGTTTGGTTTGTTTTGGTTTGAAAAACAAGGAAAATACTTAGAGGGTATTTGGTGGAGATTAAAATTAGATTTTGAATAGATTGTGATAGAAATTTTTGAAATGTGTAGTTGAAAAGTTGTAGACCCATGAAAGATATAATTAATATTGATTGTTTGATTTTGATTTGAATTAAAATCAGATTTTAATCCGAACCACACATGGACTTATTGTGTATAGTTATTTATATAGTGTTTTACATAATGATAATGTGTCAAAATGTAAGTTGAGAAGTTATTTGATTGATGTTATTTTGATTCAATTAAATTTCGTCATATCACCTGTTGATAAATCATTATATAATTGTTATGTAGATGCACTACAATCCGAAAAAGAATTTGATTTGATTTGAAAATAATTTGAGTTGAAAATATTGCTCAAATCATCCAAATCAAACCGCTTACATCAAGGACTTACCACCAGTTACGATAGGCCCCACGAATAAGCCCAGCAAGTCAGCCCAAATTGTTACCCCACCAGTCTCCTAAAAATCCCCAAATCTCAGACATTGACTCCCACCCTACGCCCACATTCACTAGATCCTTTCCTTATCTGACTCACTAAATTGCACTTTACTTTGTACACACACAGACGCTCTCTTCGCCTTCATGGCAACGGAGATACAGCCGCCGGAAGGCTCAATCTCGATTGGTCCACCAACCACCACCGCCCAATCCCCTGGCCCATCTCCAATTGATCACTCAAACCCGAAAGCGGGACCCTCCGCCATCAACAACTCGGGTCCGAGCCTTGCCCCCAAACGACAACGTCGGCCCAGTGTCCGTTTGGGCGAGATCGGTGGCGACCCACCTTACGACAACCTCAACCGCCGCCCTAACAAAACATGGCGCTTCCACAAAGATCCTTCTTTCGTCACCAAGACATCCAGGACCCGTCCACTCACAAACCTGGTTAACGGCGGTGAGTCGAATTTTCAAGATACTCTCGAACCCGTGGAGAATTACACAATCGCTATGGAGTTCACCCACCGGAAGCCCAAGATTAAGAAGGCTACCAAGCGGGTCCGGACCAACTGGAATAAGTTTGAATCCGCGGTTAATAATGGAGGCGGTGGAGGAGGAGTGATAGTTGATAGCGGGAACAATTTTGATGAAGAACAGAAGAATAATAACGCCGAATTTCAGAGCTTTGAGCCCGAGGGATCTGAGAGCCCCCTGTTAAAAGAGCAGAGCCCGGTCAATTCTGTTGAGAATATGGGGCTGCAGTATTGGGATCAACAGAGGAGGGGAAGTAGGGTCCGGGTTTCAGAGAGCAATGGAATTATTCACGACGAGATGAATTCACAGGAACAGCGTAGTGGACGGAATGTTGCAGTGAGGGAATGGTTAATTGGGTTGGGGTTGGGCAGATACGCCCCGGTTTTTGAAATACACGAGGTTGATGATGAGGTATTGCCCATGTTGACACTGGAGGATCTCAAGGACATGGGAATCAATGCTGTTGGCTCACGGAGGAAAATGTACTCTGCTATTCTCAAGCTGCAGAAAGGGTTTTCGTGAGTTCCATGTTGTATAAATTGGTTTAGACCTTTTGTTTTATGTGTTTTTTTTTTTTTGCTAACCCAAATACTGGTGGTATAATTTTCCTATGGTAACTTATTTTTGGAGTTAGTGTTTTTTATGCTGCTCTAATGTGTTATTAGTTCTAATGAAGTGTAACTGCTAAATGTATAAAGGAAGATAGCAAGGAAAGAAACATCATGACTTGGTTAGATTGCCTGGTTAGGCCTTTTTATGAAAGGTGTGAAGCGTCTTAATTACATTTAGATATCATTGAATCTAATGAACTAATAAAAAGTCCTACTTTAAAAGTAAGTAGGACTAGAACTATTACAATCTCCAACTTCCTGAGTTTTGGAATATGTTATATATTTCGTGATGATGATGTTTCCTTCTTAAAACACCTAATGAACTTGGGCTGTAACAAGTTCTCGACTAAACAAGAAAGATGCAGTTCAAGGCAATCACTTTATCTATTTGTTCGAATCTAAAATTCAGATAATGTGAGTGTTTTGTGCAAATGAAATGAGAAATAATCTAAACGGAAGTCTCTTAAATTTTCAAGGAATGCCATTTTGTTCGTGTGCATAACATAAGTTCCTTGTGCAATTCAAGTGAGGAAATTATTGATGGAAACATGCTTGAAATTCCATTAAGTGCTGTGTAAGTTGTGGTGCATTTCTTCATACTTTATGGACACAACTTTTTTGTTTTCCATTTTTTGTTAGACATCTTGTCCTAGGCATGCTGAGGTGCACAATGCATTCCAACTCTAGTTTTACTTGTGAAAAGAAATATATTAACACCACTTTCTTAGGATGCCTTTTATAGATAATATTAAGAATTTTACCTTGATGTGGAACTTGTTGAATTACATTATACTTTAGGCAATTGTTGTATGGTTTGAAAAATACTTGGGTTAAGAAGATTATGAAATGTGCATATCAGTTGAGAGGCTATTGTTTAGCTGGATTATTATTGATATTGATTTCATAGGGGAAAAAATGTAAATTACTTGTTAGTTCAGAATCATATTTTATAGTTCGTTTGTTAAGGCCGTTTAGAGATAAAAACTAGTATTTTCACAAAGTGAGAACAATACGACTATGTGAATGTTATTTGCTAGTTCTATGATGCCCCCACAGTCAAAATATTTTTGTTTTGGATATATCACGCTTTACTCCCACTTCCATTCTCCTCGTGCTTCTGACTTGTGTCACTTAGTTCAAATCTGATGTGGAACAGTTCTGTGGGTTAGTTGAAGGAACTTTGAGGGCCTTTTTCAGTAAGAGGTTTCTATGAGAAGCAATATGTTATGAGGTTTTGCTGGAGCGACTGAAATAGCATCAAGAGACAGAATCATACATAGAATACATTTTTCGCTTCTTTGTGACATACTACCATTTCTTTCAAATGATTTCAAGAGGTCGAATTGTGTATAGCTATTATATCTCCTCCTACATTTGGAGCCATCTTTTCCCTTTATATGATACTTTTTTACTTATCAAACTCCAAAGAGGTTTGTGACCTATGTACTCAGGGCTAGAAGAACCTAATAATTCACCAACTAGTAAGTACTCCCTTTCTTCTCGATTGGATGGGGAGGTTTAAATCTGCAGAGGGTTTGGGTGAGAGTTTATAGCATGAGCTGACATTTTAATTTGGATAAATCACATTTCTGGTCACTAAACTTTCAGTAAAATCTTGTTATGTGTCTTTTTAACATTAAGTTGTTGCAATGAGGCCACTTATCTTTAATTTTGTTACACAATAGGTCAATCCTTCTGGTTCTGTTACTAATTTCATCGTCAGTGTCTTACATGGCCGTTATTTGATTTCATGTACAACTTTTGTGTCGTTCAACTGTTATGGAATGCTGTAGAGGTCCTACATTTTTCGTTATTTGATGTCATGTACAACTCGTGTGTCATTCAACTGTTATGGAATGTTGTAGAGGCACTTCCTGAAAAAATAAATAAATAAATAAAACGAAAAAATAATCTGAATCTCATCCCTCGCCCTCACTTGCACTGCCTCTGCTCCTGTTGCCTCCAGTTCATTTCTCCAACCAAACCATCACACGCCACCCAACCCCAACACCTCCACACGAAATCAAGCTGTTTATTGCAATGAATCTTTCAAGGATAAGCACTTTACATTGCGGAGGATAGATAAATTTTGCAACTTGACTAAAAGTTGAACGGGATATTTTATTAGTAATGCCCATGGGGATCTGCACAAAAAACGCGTTTGGCGTGCTTTCATCACCTGCCCCCCTCACCACTAGTTTCATCTTCTCCAACTGAATCCTTTAACCAAATAATTGAGATAAATATTGTTTAGAGAAGATAAACAGATGGGAGTGGGGTGAGGGATGATATGATATTTTCGTTTTCCCTTTTCGAGAAAGCACTCGTCAGCATTTCATTACAGGCACCTGCCACGTAAGTTTTACACGTCAGTTGAATAATGGCTACTTAGGACACTAAAATATTATTGACGGAGGTACATAGAGGCCTAATTGCTATAAATTGAACTTAAGAGCATGTCTGGGAAGTGTTTAAATCACAAAAAGAAATTAGTGGTGGATAAGTAGGTAGTATTTAGGGATGAAATGTATGGATAAAAAGTGATTTGAGTTGTTATAAATAGTTCAAAAACATTAGCCAAACCTATGCTAAGTAACCTCGAGGCGATTTTACTGATGGATGAGTAACCAAAAATGTTAACCGTTCATATTTACCTAACGATTTATTTAAAGGAATCCTCGTTTATTCATATCATATATGTAAATAGGGGCATCTTCCGAAGATTAATAATTTTTTTTTTTTTTTGTGGAAAGAAGACAGTATTTGTGGATGTCTGAAAAAGGAATTAGAAGCATTTAATCCTGTGTACGTAGGAAGTATTGTACACCAACAAAATACAAACTAATAAGCTTTGTATTTTCCCTTGCTTGATTAACATTGATGACCCTAATTGTGTGCTTGTTAAATGGTCCTTACAAAATATGTCATGCCTGCATCTAATTACGTCAAACCTCCAATTGATATATTCCAGTTTCTGCATACAGTGATATTTAGATGTTTTAATGGACGGACCAGTAAATTCAGCTCAATTTATACCTAACCAACCATCTTTTAGCTATTATTGACTTGTTATGTGTAGTTGCTGAGTGGAAGTCATGTGTAGAGGTGGCTTTGTCATTTACATTGTTCTCAAGCAGGGCAGAAACCTTGTAGGGATCAGTTCTTTTAATCTCTCCTTTGGTTTCTCTGTTGATATGGAATGCTATAATCCATGTATTGTTGCCTTCAATTTTCTTAGTTTTGTGTCAGTGCTTTCCTTGTAGTCAATTTGACCATGGTATCAGGACTTTCCATTGCCTTGCTAGTTAGAGTTTATTTTCATTATAGCTTCAGGAACCTGGAGCCAGATCCTCTTCATGCCTTTACCTTTTGTAGCTCGCAAGTATTAACCCTTTATTTTTAATTAATTTCTTAGCACTCCGGTGTGTAGACCGCTTTCAAGTATCAATTTATTTTGAAGGAATTGCTCCAGCTAATATTCTTGTCCCACATTTCTGGCATGAATTCAGTAGGTTTACATCTGAGATGTGCAGTGACGTATCGGCACAACGGTTGTGCATGGTTGCGTGCTGCTTGGCTGTGTTTGTATGCTATTATTCTTTAATTTCCAGAGTCTGTCTTGTGGAGTGGTAAGAGTGGTGCTTTTCTTTGTAGTAATGATTTGGCACATGCTGGTCAATCAACTGATATTTGCTTCCTTCAATTGGGGAAGTAATATATTTTAATTTGACCTTTCAAGAATGAGCATTTTGGTATTTGTTTGATATAATTACTATTTCATGTGAGAGTCTGGACACGTGTGATTGGAAGAATACTGTGAACCAATTTCAAGGAAGCAAAATATAGATAATCAACTGAATGGAACTTCGAAATTAGCAGTTGGATTTCTCTGGATTTATTTATCATTGTATTTGAAATCGTAATGGTTTTTAAGGATTGAAATGGATCTGCAGTCTCTTTACCAGGTTAATGTTATTATACAACTTCATTGAGTGCATAGCATGTGTGTGCGCAATTTAGAGTTTGTTTGGGAGAGATTTTTGAGGGAAGAATTGATTTTGAATAGTGATATAATGTGAAATGTGTGGTTGAAAAAAAAGAAAAAATTATTGATGTGATGGAAAATATTATTTTATTGAAGAATGTGTGACTTGAATGATTTCTGTTGGGATTATTGGTCTCAGATCAGGTTTTCACCCAAAATAATCCTATATTTGTAGCGACTCAATCAACCGAAAATGTTTATCAAATGAAAACTCACAGCACCACAAACATTGAATAAATGCAGAAATTAAATAACATCAAGAACACGAAATTGTTCACCCAGTTCAGCACTAAATGGCTTAATCTGGGGGGCTCAGCTACCAGTCCAATCCACTAGTGCACCAAGAAAACCTTCCGAAGAGAGACGTTTACGTAAGGAACCAAATATCATACTCTTAATCGGTTCTAGTCATATATCAAAAATTCTCTTGGAACTCAACACAGAAAAATCTCAAAACTTATTGCATAAATCACCCGAACAGGAACTAATCAAAACAGTCAAATACAAACTCAAGCTTCTGTTGCAATATGCGAAAAGATTCACAGATTTATTCAAGATCAACCACTCAATTTATGGAAGAAAAAAATAAAGAATCACACAAGAGAGTGAAAACCAGAGCTCTTCAATTTTTCTCATCTGATAACAGATTTCCATCCATACCAAGAGTCTAAACCTCACGTGAAAATAAGGTTCTCAATAGATCACAACCCTAAGATCTAATCAATGGTCCACAATGAAGGGGAGAGCACAATCTGAGCAACAACAAATAAACCAGTTGGAAATTGCACTCACAACTTAAAAGAGTTGCACATTTTGGAAGCACGTTTTTATCTTTCAAATTCATGTACATTCCTATGAAAGGGTGCAAGTGAGTTTGAACAATGAGTTCAAATTTGTGGTTTGACTAAATACTGCTTTCAGAAGCTTTCTTTTATTAGTTGAACTGTTTTATTGCAAAAAGTTATATAGTTCATTTGTTTGAATATATCTATTCAGTTAAACTGTAATGTTGTTACTTGCAGTGTTTATTTGAAATGTTGAAATTATTGGCTGCACAAAAATTTATTGTGATTTAAAGGTGGTTTTCTGGTCCATCATAAACTGTTCATCTTGTCATCGTTCAAATATCGTGCCCTTAACTTCATGCATGTTCTGTTCAAATTTTGCCATTGCACATATTAGTATTCCCTGTGATTAATTTTGTCTACTCGTGTTCTTGTGAGGGATTTGTACATCTTCAGTAATCTGAAGAGTTGCAAGTTTTCGTTTATGAGAAGTGTGTGTGATTTATTTATTGTCAATTTTGAGAAGGGAAAAATATATTGGAAGAAATAAGAAAATAATGGCAAACAAATTTCTAATCGATCAATTGGAAGTGACTAAACGGAAATAAATGCACCAAGCAATTAATCATGCTTGGTGTACAAAATTTATTGCCAGAATATATACAGATGGTGCCATTCCATTGGTGATTGAAAAAAAGAAAGAAAAATTCAGGCAAGATCTTATCATCTGTACACTTGGTTTGTCCTATATTTTGGTAGTTTAGATTATGCCATTGAAACCCAATACATTACCTCCTGGCATATTATCATCTGAACTATATATTCTCATTACAGGATTACAAGTTAATAGACCATAAAAAAGATAAATGTGAAAAATAAAAATAAAAAATAAGAAAACAAGTAACTCATTATCATAATACAGAAAGTTGATCAAATAAATTAAGCACTTTTTCTTCCATAGTGTAGCACCATTATATGATCAGTAGTCGAGGAATCTGGAAGCAAAGTTACCAACTCCATTGATCTCCATATGTTGTCCCTAACATGCTGCAACGTCAAGAAAGGTTGAAGCTTTTGCCTTTTACATGTTATCTCTATCTGCCACCACAAACCCAAAATTAACATTAGTGCAAGTATGCCTATGTCACGTAGCTAGTAGCTAGGCACATATAATTAATAATTTCATTTTATTTCTACACAGATTCCTGAGCATTACAAACATAAATAATTCTATAAGCAATAAGCCATTGGAAATGTTGGTCTGAAGTGACCCCACATAGGCTTCGATCCTAAGCCAGAATCATTATACTTTAGACTTCAATTTAATACAAACAATTATATATACGGATTTATAGTGCAAGCAAGCATATAAATTGATAAATAAGGTAAGTAGGCAACATTAATATATCCAATTCTCCTTAATAAAACATTTTCTTAATGAGTGCAACATATTCCATTCATACAGGTTTGATTATTTTCATCAATTCTTTCTTACTCACGACATGCATTGCTTTCTTCCTACGTAAAACACAAATATGTACTATTCGGTTTTTATTTATGATTTTTTAAAACATATCTTCTAGTGTGTCGAGTATCAAATAATATTTAAATGTGGACCTAAAATATTGATCCCATCCCATGCAATATGATTAATTTTCTCAAAGTGCAAAGTATTAATTACCTTTTTTATTTGCACAAAATGCGGGCGATTGAGTGCCCACATTGGCTGATGTGAAACACTTGAAAGCATGACGAAATTTCTAGCAATAACACAAAAAATATACTCAATAAAAAATGATAGCCCACCTTAAATGACACCTTTTCATTTCCTACATTCATCATTTGCCCTATGACTCTTTAAAGTAGGTTATATCTCTCCTCAATAATCATTACCTAAATACATCACGCCAAGATGATCCAATTTACTTGCAAAACTTCTCAAAATAGTGATTCTAATGCAGCGAAAGAGTTGGATCTTTGTGTAGTGTGTGATTCGAAAAAGATAGATATAAGTTATCGCTTAAAGTGATTCAGAATGCGTTAAAAATAGAACCTATGTCCCTGACGTGCCTAGAGTGAAAACAAATAATTTGACGCTTGAAAACCTTTTCAATTTGATAGCAAATCATCTCAAGATTTAATTTCATGATTATCTTGTTCGTGCATGTTTAATTTCTGTGTGAAAAGAAACATTGTTCCTAATCCTAATTAATTATAAATGGACATGTCATTTCAGTCCACACTCATATTTTGTTCTCAACCACTTAAAATCCCAATCATTGGTTCCTTAATTAGTTACACGCTTACATGCCATGTGTGAAAAGTAAGGTTTGGCATTAAGGCCAGAATGAAAAGTAAGATTTTTGTTATAATGTAATCTTCTGAGGAAGACTTCAGAAAATTACGAGAGAGAGAGAGAGAGAGAGAGAGAGAGAGAGAGAGAGAGAGAGAGAACAAAAAATGCATGGAATCACAGAGAAGCATGTTATATTGAGCGTCACACATCATAAAAATAAATTTGTAATCTTCTGAGGAAGACTTCAGAAAATTACGAGAGAGAGAGAGAGAGAGAGAGAGAGAGAGAGAGAGAGAGAGAGAGAGAGAGAACAAAAAATGCATGGAATCACAGAGAAGCATGTTATATTGAGCGTCACACATCATAAAAATAAATTCAATGCATTATTAACCATGAGAATGTCAATCCTAATAAATAAATTCATTTATTTATGTTCAACGTCACATTATAAAATAAATTTATTCGATTATTTTGAAGAGAGAATTTTGGTTGTTGCTCATAGTTTGTTCTGTTTGAGAGACATTCTGTCGTATTCTCATCTCTTTATGTTAAGAGTTTGAGAACTTGTACAAATTGGGATGAGGATCAAGTGAAGCAAGGGCCATTGAATAATTTTAAGAATCATCAAATCATGCATATCTCGCAATTTCGACATGCCGTGGAGGATTTAGTTAAGATTTTTAAGGTGGCTTTATGACAATAATGGAACAGATTGATCTTTGGCTTGGTCTATATAAGACTATGCACAAAAATTTGGTCAAACTATTGATTGAATATGATTTGAGCAATATGAGGTTAGATAATTCTAATGTCTTAGAATATGTCAGAATGCTTTTGTGTACATTAATGAAGACTCCGTGGAAGCAGTGGATTTTCCGAAGGGTACACGAAGATAAATTCTCATGATCACGTTTAAAAAGCAAGTTAGAAAATGACCAAAAGTCGAAGAAACACTTCACTAGATGTAATGACGAAGAGTATGATTAGGACATATGAAGTACAATTTCATGGAAAGTTTATTTTTATATTTATTTTGTCTTCCATTGTTAATAAAACAGGCTATTTAGTGGTTTAACTAAAAAAGGAATCATTCCATTATGTCATGCACTGCATACAGAAGAGTGTTGCACAACGCACAACAGTTGACGGTTGACCTCATTACTAAAATAAATGAAGGAAATAAAGATTTAGAATGAAACAAAATCAAATGTTGTATTATGTCAAGACATCCTAGCTAGCAAGCAAAAATAATGCCTTTCTATGAGTTCAATTTTCCCTTAAATTTTTAGTTGAACCTCAACCACAGTACTCGACCAAATAGTCGAGGTTTTTGTGAGAAAAAATGGAAGATATAGTTTTAAAGATTAACAAACTAACAAGAAGCTTTGGACAATAAGAAAAGGAAATAGAATCCTAGCTTTCACTTATATGTGACATGCTTTATGGAGTAAACAACTTAAGATAATTTTTCATTCCCTTTCAAAACTACCATAGTGTTCAATCATTTGTTCATCAATATGCATTCTATATCACTATGTGATGAATATATGAGCAACATTCGAATTTTTGAAGAAAAAAGAGATAAAGAGAGAGCTAGTCAAATAAAGGATTAGCGTTTCTGCACAAGAAATTTTGTAACTTCGTTAAGAGTTTTAAGATGAAATTTTAAGAATGTGATAGGTCATCTTTCATTTTCACTTTGGAGCCATAGAGATCATCATATGTAGTCTTCTATATCCCATTGCTATTTCACATAGTCCAAAAACCCTAGTTTACATTTGGCTTGGACAAACTGTACAAAAGTGTTCTTACATGCAATACATTCTTGAATAAGATGATCATATATGAACTCTAAAATTAACTTCCAAAACAAATTGGAAACAACTTTCAGAGAGAAATTAATAAGCTCAAAGGTGTGTAATAATTATATATTGCCCAATTAAGACATATTAATTACTCCATTTCATTTTCTTGGTTTAGGTGTTGGTGGTAAGTAGTTTTCTACTTGCTACATTTCGTCACTTTAACCCTAAACCTTAATCACTGGTCCCTTAAAGATTATAACTAACTATAAACATTAAGCAGCTAAAATTAACGTTAACAGTGGCATTGAATGTTTCCCAAATTAGACAAAACATGGTTTCTTGCGAATAATTTAAGAGCTCGGTCAAGCTAATTATAATGCAAAAGCCAAACGAGACGGAGATGGCTACCTAGAAATTTACATCACACCTAATTTTGATGTTATCTAATATTACTAATGGAAGCCCATATAGTTCTGCTGTTTCTATCATCTTTCTTACACCAACCATATCCTAAAACATGTTATTCATTTACTAGTTGTAAACGTGGTGTTTGGTCAATTTTGAATCGATGCGACCGAGTTTTTCTTATTGCAAAAGCAGAAGCTAATAATGTTATGAACTTATTAATTAATAACCCAAATTGAGAGAGAGAGAGAGAGAGAGAGAGAGAGAGAGAGAAATGCGGCTGGATTAATTTCATACCTCTGATTCGCTTTCGAGTCTAAGCTTATTTACCAGATACTTAATTACGATTTGAATCGTCACACTTCCATCCCTAACAGTTTAAAGATAAATTAATGCAGACCTAAGAAAATGAGAAAATGGAGAAATAGAAGGACAAGAAAACCAAGAGCTGCAGAAAGAGAATTACTTGATTCTTATATAGCTCCTGGATATCTGAGGCAAAAGTGGTTCTGTTGCTCTGCAATAAAAAAAACGAAACCCCGTAAGAAAATGAAGAGGAACCAAAAAATAAAATAAAATAATGAACAAAAACTGAAAATGCAAAGGAGAAGGAAGACCTAACAGCGATGAATATTAATTTCAAGTCACTTACTGATTTTGTAATGATTGAAGCATAAACCATATGCCGGAATGTGGTCTCCGAGGAGGATAAATGACTCTGAAATCAAGAGCTGGCCCTGAGATGTCCATTCCGGCATGGGGTAGAAATGGAATTGGGGGCATTGATGACGAAGATGTTGCTGTATTAACTGGAATAGGCCTAAACGCCCAGTTAATCTCTTGACGAGGAAAATTAGAACTAGTTCCGGCCGGATGTTGACAGAGAAATGGGAGGTTATAGCCTGAACCGGCGACCAAATTCATAACTGTCGGCTGAGGAGCTGGATATTCCGGCATGGTAAGCATATGACCTACTGTCTTCATCACTTGTGAATCAGAATTATAATTACTACTTGGAAGAAGATCAAGCTCGACTAATCTCCCTCTTTGATCCGCCTGATCTTTCTTCTTATTATTGCTTACTGTGTGGCCACCAATACTTAATTGAAGCCAACCTTTATCTTTATCTTGTTGAACATCTTTTAGACTGTAGCCTGCAGTTTCGTTTACAGTACTCGCAGTTCTTGATTCATCTTCCGCCATAAGATCAAGCTGGTGATCAGATCCTAACAAACAAGTTTCACTACAATAATCAAAACCATCTGAGAGGCTCACAAGACCAAGACCAAAACCCTCACAATAACTACCATAAAACTGCTGTCTGATGAGGCTTTGAGAAGGAATCGTGGTCATTCTGAAAAATCCACATACCCCAATAGCCAATACTTATGAGAGTTAATCTTGTTCAGCTTATCCTTAATCTCAATGAAAGCCATGAATTGGAAACAATTCCTTAAATTGGATAGAGTTATATGTTGTTTCAAAGAAAATATGTAGATACTATGGAGACATTGATACGCATTTACCAGATGAGAATATTTTGTGTGTGTGTGTGTGTGTGTGTGTTTTACCTAAGACAGATCAAAGGACAATAAGGAGAGAATAAAACTTGCAAAATCTCACTTTCCATTAATTCTCTTTGTTTGGATGATTGTGAGGGGATGAAATAGTTACGTACAGGGGTGGGTAGACGGTGGTCAGTATGTTAAATTAAAATTTATATAGTGCCAAAAGTCATACATATATATTATATCTACGTGTGTGTGTGTGTGTATAGAGGCCAGGTCGAAGAGTATATGTATGCTCTTTTCTTTTTCTTCTTGACTTTATTACTAAGATAGAATGCATGTTCTACTTGTTTTCAGGCGGATATTTTACAGCTAGAGTTAGGGCTTGTTCCAAGAATTGAAATTACTAGAGAAATTCACTCCTTTTTTATATCATGAAAAGGTCCTTTTTGGCATTGTAGGGCACACATGTTGAAAGACAAAAGATTTTACGTAATTCGGCATTATCATTATATACACGAGATGAATTTAATTTTGTGTAGAGAATTCTTTTTGCCAAAACTTAAAACGTACAATTTTCTAATTAGTAATAATGACAATCGCACACAAAACATTTGTCTACTCGAATACTATGTCAAATTAACAATTTGATCTAAAAAAATGAAATACCTATAAAAAAGGATGAATCGTTCATATTTTAATTCCAACAAACGTCCACTTATTCCACAAATGGCATGGGACTTCTTTTTTCTTTTCAAACCCATACTTGTTAACATAAATTTGGAACTAAGCAAAAGCTTTCAGAAAGTTCAGCCTTCGTTACTGTATTTCTTATTAAAAATTATAGCTGTCAACGCATGACAATAGTGCATTTTGTACCTTTAATTTTTTGGTGTGCGAGTCCCGAGCATATCTAGTTAATTCATAGCATTAGAGGGAGAACCGGGAGTGGGAGGCAAGAAACTGGTAATCGCAAAACAAAGTGTTTCACATGCATTGCACGTAACTCTCTTGACGGTCAATAACACTGAACGCTATATGGGTACTCAAATATTACAAAATTGAAAGTAAGATCAATACTTTGCTACATTTAGATATATTAGTTAAGACTATGAAACCTTCAATGTACAAATATAAACATTACACCAAGATCGTAACAACAGTTATGAAAAACTTGTTTCTATGATAGTCAAGATGACGTTTTACGACAAGTAAAACATGCATAAATGGAAGCCCTTTTAGTAATCATAGAACCAATTCGCACTTTGAAAGCAAGAATGAGGATGACAATGGTGGCACTTGTTAGAATCTTAAGCACGAATTTTTTGAGGAGTAGAAAGATATCCCCTTCAAAGAGAGCTACGTGTTTTCATGCTTTCTCCTACTATCCTTTACATGGAATTAGTCGTTTCTCCCACTTATCCAACAAGACCAACAAAAAAGTTCCTCCCTACAAATTAAAGCACAATTACAAATTTTATAACCATATTCTGGGAGGATTTTGAATATAGGTGGCATATATAGACTGCTACCTAACACCTTACACAGGTAAGGATCCCCCATATAATTTTTAATTTTAAACTATTGCATGTAATTTTGTTTAATTATTTAGAAAATTTCATACAAAGTTGGTCTCAAGGTTGCTCTGAGCTCGAAAATAGTCAAATAACTTTTTGTGAGAATTTGTTAGAAGCACCACGTGGCACCATATTTCGGTGGTAGGACCCAATTAAATCAGGATGTGTTTTCTTGGCATCAACATGTCATCGAGGCCCTTATTCCGAGGCCATCATTGTTAACCGAGATCCCTTATTCCGAGGCCATTATTGTTTAGCTGAGGCCCCATTATCCGAGGCCATTGGTAACCGAGGCCCCTTATTTCGAGGCCATCATTGTTAGCCGAAGCCCTGGTTCCGTGGCCATGCACCATATGAGGCCCTTTTGCAGCTAGTGAAGACTCACATGTGAAGATTCACTCATGATGAAAATCTTTATTTGAATGATTGACGTGACTTTTGTGTAAAGTATATTTGTGTCTTGTCTTATCAATGTAAGAGCATTTAATGTTTTGTAAGGGTAGGAGAGTCAACTTCATAGCTAGGACTTGATGTCTTGGCCGAGGAGATGATGCCACGTGTAAATTGATCCAAAGGTCACCATTTGAGTTGTAACACTATAAATACCCCTACCATGTAACACAAAAGAGGTTAATGAAACTACAAATCTTGTTATTTATCGATTGGTTTCTTATACAATCGTGATACATTTATCTTGTCGGAAGCCCGAACGGTGACGTCTCCTGTCGTTGAGCTCCTCCAAAGTCTAGATTTTAGAGCTATCATGACCGTCGATCGGCATTAACGTGTTGGATTAAGCTTACGCATACACGAGTGGGCTCGACATCTGTTGGCAACATTTTTTGGGGTCAACAGATTGTCTCGTGTTATTGAGCTCCTCTCACGTCCAGATTTTAGAGCTATCATAACCGTCGATCGGCATTAACATGTTGGATTAAGCTTA